GAAACCAAAATGAAAAGGAATAATCTGGGAAACCAAAATGAAAAGGATAGCTCTCGGAAATCAAAAGGAAAAGAATAGCTCTGTGATACTTAAATAAAAAGGATAGCTCTGGAAAACTAAAATGAAAAGGATAGGGTTGGGAAACTAAAACAAAAGGGATAGATCTTGGAAACCAAAATGAAAAGGATAGCTCTGGGAAACTAAATTGAAAAGAATAGCTCCCTGAAACCAAAATGAAAGGGATAGCTCTGGGAAATCAAAATGTGAAGGATAACTCTGGGAAACTAAAATGAAAAGGATATCCCTGGGAAACTAAAACGAAAAGGATAGCTCTGGGAAACCAAAAAGAAAAGGATAGCTCTCTGAAACCAAAATGAAAAAGATAGGGCTGGGAAACTAAAATGAAAAGGATAGTTCTGTGATACTAAAATGAAAAGGATAGCTCTGGGAAACCAAAATGAAAAGGATAGTTCTCTGATACTAAAATGAAAAGGATAGCTCTGGGAAACTAAAATGAAAAGGATAGCTCTCTAAAACCAAAATGAAAAGGATCGCTCTGTGAAATGAAAATGAAAAGGGTAGCTCCGGGAAATCAAAATGTAAAGGATAACTCTGGGAAACTAAAATGAAAAGAATAACTCTGGGAAACAAAAATGAAAAGGATAGCTCGTTGATACTAAAATGAAAAGGATAGCTCTCTGAAACCAAAATGAAAAGGATAACTCTGGGAAACTAAAATGAAATAGATAGCTCTGGGAAACTAAAATGAAAAGGATAGCTCTCTAAAACCAAAATGAAAAGGATTGCTCTGTGAAACTAAAATGAAAAGGATAGCTCTGGGAAATCAAAATGTAAAGGATAACTCTGGGAGACTAAAATGAAAAGAATAACTCTGGGAAACAAAAATGAAAAGGATAGCTCTTTGATATTAAAATGAAAAGAATAGCTCTGGGAAACCAAAATGGAAAGGATAGCTGTCTGAAACCAAAATGAAAAGGATATAGGGTTTGGAACTAAAATGAAAAGGATAGCTCTATGAAACAAAAACAAAAAAAGAAAAAAAGATTGCTCTGGGAAACTAAAATGAAAAGGATAGCTCTGGGAAATTAAAATGTAAAGGATAACTCTGGGAAACTAAAATGAAAAGGATAGCCCTGGGAAAGCAAAATGAAAAGGATAGCCCTTGGAAAATAAAATGAAAATGCTAGCTCTGGGAAACCAAAATGAAATAGATAGCTCTATGATACTAAAATGAAAAGGATAGCTCTAGGAAACTAAAAACTATCTATCTCTGTATTTGTGTTTCATGTGTGAAACGAAATAGATCAGAACAATATCACGCTGATACTAACCCTGCTTAAAACCCTAACACACATAAACACACACACACACACACACACACACAC